TCTCTGTTTGGATAAAAAATATCTACAATTATAGTAATACTTTGTTTCTTTTCCCATAATAATAAACCAAGAAACAAAAGTTCTTTTTTGTACATACTTCCTAAATCACTAGCATAAGACATTCAGTTCTAGTTATGTACTATTTCCTCTATGTAGAAGGACATAATTCTTTCAGAATTACTAAAGAACAAAACTGTGCACAGTTCTTGTACAATAGTAATGTAATGCTTAAGTATAATTGATAATACTGTTTATATTATTGTTTTACACATGCTGCCAGAGCTCAAGGCAGCATAAATTAAATTTTACAAGTACAGCCATTGAGATAGGGTTGTTCGTCTCAAACAAAGTGACTATTCTAAAAACACCTCTGAAAATTAATCCTGTGTTTTCAATACCTTATTAGTCCTTGACTTACAACAGTTCATTTAATGACCATTCAAAGTTACAATGCCACTGAAAAAAGTGACTTATGACCATTTTTCACCCCTATAACTGTTGCAGCATCTCCAAGGTCACATGATCAAAATACAGAAGCTTGGCAACTGACTCATATTTGTGACTGTTATGGTGTCCCAGAGTTGTGTGATCCCCTTTTGTGACCTTCTGACAAGCAAAGTCAATGAGAAAGCCAGGTTCACTTAACAACTTGTTACTAACTTAACAGCTGCAATGATTCACTTAACTGTGGCAAGAAAGGTCATATAATGGGTCAAAACTCACTTAACAATTGTCCCATTTAGCTACAGAAATTTTGGGTTCAATTGTGGTCATATGTCAAGGACTATCTGTACTACACTATTCTACATTAAGCAACCTTTTCCCCCACCAGGCATCACATTTTTCACTGGTAATTTGTGATCACAGGTAAGTATGGCTACAGCCAAAATGGGTGAAAAAACTGCAATTTCTTATTGGAATCAGTTCCCTTCTTTTTGACACTTTATTTCTTTTCCTCCCAAGTAACAGGCTTCAGGTAACAGAGACATATTTTTGTTAACAATTGTATTAAAGAAGTTGTATTAATTGTAAGATAATTTCTTTTAAACCAACCAGGTCTTGGTATAGTTTCTATGCAGAACAATTATATTATGCAATTTATCAGAATGTAAAATGCTCAAGCATTGTATTGAATCACATTGGACAAAGGTTGAGATATTTTTAAATTCAAGGTGCTAATAATGTTCAGATTAAAATATTTTAATTAAATCACAATGAATGCTGCAAACAATCAATTAGATTGCCAGTAATTATTTACAATGGGCATATAAACTAGTAAGACCTTAGCTGAAAGGAACCTTTTCAGCCTTTCAGGGTGAGTAGTAGGTTTGGATCACATGTATATAATCATATCAAAAAATATCCCACTGATACACATATGGTCACATATAGAACGCAGAACAATGAAGAAAGAAAACTCCTTTCACCTCTCTCCCTAAGAATTCAACCTGTCCTCCATCTTAACAGGTTGCTATGCGATATCAAGCATATCATACAGGTTGCTGCAGTGAACAAGGTGTCTTGGGTTCTGAAAGTAGTAACAATTACTCTAGTAGTTTCGTTGAAACTTTTTTAGAACCAAGCATTGAAGATTCCCACTGTGGATGGCACATTAGCTGCTGGCCTGTACAGCCTTATTAAAAGGCCAATTTAAAAACAGCAGGTAGAAATAGAAGGTAGAGAACTGGAATCACATGTAGCAGGATTTGGTCCTGGCAAGAACATACCAAGGAATTGGGTAATTTTAAGCAAACATGAAACATATGAATAGGAATTTTTAGTAAACATAATATTTTACTAATTTTTAAATAATCATAATATTTACTTTTGCAGATAGACAGTATTACTTAAATAAAATAATGATAACTTTGCTTTTTTGTGGCTCAGTGGTTAAGACTTTAGGCAGCCCAAGTTCCAGACCCAAATGCCACGAGACAGGGTAATCTTCGGACAGTGCTGGCTCAATGGCCTTGAAAACGAGATGAGCACCACCCACTATAGTTGGTTACTACTAGCACAGTAAATCTGCAAGGATTCCTTTATCTTTTTAACTTTACTTTTCCCTTAAGCTCTCAACTTGTAAAGATCACTGTTTCAAAGCTAATTTCAAGTGATAACAGACAAAGTATTAAAATTTTGAAGTTTACAATTACTTCAAAAAGTTAACATTTCATTTTAATTTTATTTTTAAAGCTCTTCAATAAACAAAACATTATATGCATACAGACAAACATTATGCAGTATAGCACCATTAAACAATAACAGATCAGAATTGCTTCCTGACTGCCACCTAGCGTCAAGGCACTTTTCTCTTCTTAAATCAAGTACTACACATGAAAATAAAAGAACATATTCATTCATTCAGAAATACCATTAGCACTCCTCATAAAATTAAACAGCAGTCTTAGAAAGCTACAAAGTTTCCTTCCAAATGAATTTCACATTTTTCTAATTATAATTTTATTTTTTTAAAAGCAGATCTTTTAATGTTCCTAGCAATTTAATACTTTATAGGGAAAATGCATATTTATATCATTTTAAAAGTCTTTTATACTACAGGGTAGTTGGGGAGTATGAATGTTTTTTAAAAATAATAATCAGAAAGTAATAACAATGGATTTGTATCTGGCTGACAAACCGTATTCAATGAGTAGTCCTCAATGGTACCATATCCACATGGAGAGAAGTAAGCAGTGGGGTACCACAAGGCTCCATCTTAGGCCCAGGACTCTTCAATATCTTCATCAATGACTTATATGAAGGAATAGGAGGAGAACTAATCAAATTTGCCGATGACACTAAACTGACAGGAATAGCCAACACCCCAGAAGATAAACTCAGGATCCAAAAAGATCTTGACAAACTTGAATAATTGACCCTATCCAACAAAATGAGTTTTAATGTGGAGAAAAGCAAAGTTTTACATTTAGGCAGGAAAAAATCAAAGATATAAGTACAGATTAGATAAGACCTGGCCCAAACTGTGACTATGAGCCAGCAATGTGCAATACAATCTAATACAACCTGGAATTAAGAAGAAAGTTCCTAACAGTGAGGATAATTAACCAGTGGAACAGCTTGCCTTCAGAAATCGTAGGCGCTCCATCACTGAAGGTTTTTAAGAAGAGACTGGACAATCACTTGTCTGAGATGGTATAGGTTCTCCTGCTTGAGTGGGGGTTGGACTAGAAGACTTCCAACGTCTATTCTATTCTATTCTATTCTATTCTATTCTATTCTATTCTATTCTATTCTATTCTATTCTATTCTATTCCATTCCTATTTATTTGATTAGGACTATATCACAGTTTTCTTTCAGAAGTCCAAAGCAATATTTAACATTTCTTCCTTCATTTTTTTCCCTGCAGCAAAACTGTTTAGGTTTAGGAGATTTGGTTGAGAGAGAAGAATTGGCTCAATGAGTATTTTGAAAAATATTTTTGAAAACAAGAAGAGCAAAACCATAGGTCACAATGATTACACTTACAAAATCAAGCCAGATTTCAAACACTGTACCAAATCACATTCTATGAGTTTTCTCAGCTTATAAAATAATAACCATCAGTATTTCATTAATATTCTTTAACAAAAAGATAACTCTTTAGAAAAATGAATTATTAACATTTCAACAGAAACACAAGACATAAAGCATGGGAAGAAACATTAATTCCAGTCACATTTTGGGACACTATTGTAAAATAGTTAATTTCTATAGAATGAAAGATATAAACACTGCAAGTTTTGTTTAGAATAATTTTTTGCTTATCTAATAGACTTTTTTAAACTATTTAATATTTAGTGTACTTTGCCCATAAAAGTTAAGATAATGCTGTTGAAAAGAAGAAAAGTATTACATCAATAAATAATATTAATACAGATAATAATTCAAACAATAATTTTGAACCCTGGTGGCACAATGGTTAGAATGCAATATTGCAAGCAAACTCAGCCTGCAGTCTTCAGTTCAATTCTGATGGGGCTCAAGACTGACTCAGCCTTCTATCCTTCCGAGGTCGGTAAAATGAGGAGCCAGATTGTTGAGGGCAATACACTGACATTGTAAACTGTTCGATGTATGCTGTAAGCACTATGGAGCAGTATATTAGTCTTAAGTGTTATTACTATTGCCAATTTTCTCTAGCTTAATAGTTAGCTCTATGCTTTTTATATTACATTCCCACTTTGTACATCCTAATTACATTGAAGCAATTCTGGTATTCAATATAATAGATCAAAAGCAATGTTACAACAATTGATTCTGAAAAATTTGGATATCAGTTTCAAATGGGTCCATATCCAATTCACTATTTCAGAAAATACAATATGTAACTATTTTCTTTAGGAGCAACACATTGATTTATTGGCTAAGTACATTCTTCTTTTACAGCTCTAAAACATTGAGCTGAGATGCTTCAGCTCCCATTATAATTCCTAATAAGGTGTAAAATTGCATTTTGATTTCTTGATAAAAGAGATGCCAAAATGGGATGAGAAAAGCAGTGTGATGTTTCCAATCATTGTTAAAAGTCTCCTAGGACTAAATGTCTTGAAAAGATAATACAGAATTGAGATATTTCTAGACTAGCTGAGTATAAAAATTGGGGGGGGGGAGAGAAAAATACAGAGGGAAAGAAGTAAATAGGTGGCCCAAAAGCTAAAGTTCTCCCTAGCTAAAGTTAACATATAGAATATCTATGGGAAGGCACCACAGACTGTTCATTCAAGCATCTTCATAATATTTCTTACCAAATACATATGTAATAAAAACATACATAAATTTCAAGCAAAGAATGATTCCTGATAAAGAAAAGAATCTCTGATCAAATATTAAATTAAATGTTGGTATAATTTAACTTTAGGTTCATTAGAAATCATAATCTGCATTTTGCAATGACTTTTTATTACTAATACACTAAACCTTGAGATGGTGCTTCTCTTCATATAACCAATATCTTTCAAAATGATATATATATATAACTTTAATAGTATGCAAAACTAACCTGGCTTGAAATGTGGTAGCGCATGAACTCCAGGCCATGACTCTTCATTTGGAGTTCCTAGAACCTGAAAGAAGACAAAGAAAAATATATTCATTTTTAATATAGATGATCACTTATTATGGAGCATTTTAAACTTAGATTAATAAGAGTTAAACTTATTTACAATTTATATAATTTATAAATATCAATCAGTCAAACTTTATGATTACTTTTGTCACAAATTATTTTACACATAGAAAAAGTTATGATCCTTAATTTTTATTACCTAATTAAAAGGAGAGTGATGCTACTAATTCAAAAATGAAGGGTATACATATAAAATGTAAGTGTATTAAATAACATGATGAATTACTTAATTCATTTAAACTGAATACTCTGTACAGAGACAGATTGCCTTAGAGCAGGGATAGGCAACCTTGGCTCTTTTATGACTCGTGGACTTCAACTCTCAGAATTCCTGAGCCAGCCATGCTGGCTCAGGAATTCTGGGAGTTGAAGCCCACGAGTCATAAAAGAGCCAAGGTTGCCTACTCCTGCCTTAGAGCCTTTAAATGCATTATGCAATATTTAGTATGCCCAGTAGGTGGAAGCAGACAATTTACTCTTATAGCAACTTATAGCAACTTATTACTGTATTTTTTCAAAACAACACTAGATTTTTCCTAAATAATTTATTCTCTAAAATGGGAGGATAATCTTAGATTTGTTGGAAATACAATATTATGAGACAGAAAAGTTTCCACTGGCAATTTGCACATGCAGGTGCATTAAATTCAGAGCTGCTTTCCTTAGAAGACAATATGGTTTTAGTAAGTTAATATCAAGAAACCTAACTTCTTGATGAAAAACCTGGTCCTGTATAGCTATATTTTTAAAAGTACTGAGTTGCAAGATTTCATATACCATAACTTATTTCATCAGTCACAAAAAATACAAAATGTAAACTAATTACTAGAAATTAATTTTATATTTTGAAATTATTTTTTAATCTTAATCTTTTAATCTAATTTTCCAGGAAAAGTAATTTACAATAAAAGAACCTATATTTAACATGGACAATATATATCTAAATATATATGCATCTGCATGTGAGATGAATTGACTACAGTTTACCAATGTGAAATCAATAAAGATTACACCGATTTTGCTAAGTGTAATCCATTCAAATCTACAACAATTTTGTAGATTATCTGACACTAGTTCAGTTCCCACATTTTTTGAAGGAACCAACATTGTTCTCAGTTTTTAAAAATATTTTACACAGGTACAAATCTAATTACAAAATAGTAACACTTTCAGAGTGAACTACAAACAATAAATACACCACAGGACTGGGGGGGGGGGGATAGCTGTTGCCAGATCTCACTTAGACAACTTCTCCAAGTAGCTACTTTACTTTCTCAAAAGATAATTTAAGAACTGAAAGCAAAGAAGAAAGCAAAATAAACTTCAAAAAAATTCCAAGTTCTTCTGTTCCATTGACATCTTCTTATACTTTATTCAACATATATGTATTTTTTTCAAGCATCTAGAAGCAGACCAAATCAATCAATCTTCATCATTTAAAAAAATGTTAGCAGATGGGGTCAAGGTTATGGAATACTTTTGAGTGCCACATAATAGTATCAATCTAATTTCTCTAAATTGGTTTTTTAAAACAGGAAAAAAGTTTGTATCATTTTTGTATGCAACTTTCACTAACATAAGCCTTTGTTCTTTGAAGAAATATTTAATCTGAAGATAAGAACTAAATATTTACCAATAACTTTAATGCTACATATGTGGTTTTTTTCAAGAGTGAGCAAACTACTACTGCCAGAAGAATGAAAGCCTTGTTTGAGATGATCGTGGTAAAAGGAGGTTCTTCCCATATTTTCTCCCTATAGATCATTTTGGTTAGCCTGAGGAAGAATCTAAAATCAGCAAATAAGACGAGAAAGCTCTTTTAAGAACAGTTTAGATGTTAGTAAAAGGATTATCCTAAAAATATTATGCTAAGAGGCTGCTCCAGAGAGACATAGTTGTAATAATTTGCTTCATAAAGGCCTACAAATCAATATAGGCAGAACTCTATCATGCGACTTTCACTAAGCCAAATTCTGTTGGACATAGGAAGCTTGCTGTTATAACATTAAGAATTTCTGAAAAAACTTTAAAGCTAAATGAAAATTCCTCCACTCAAAATGTATGATATTGATAGCCTTCTTAAAAGATACTGTCTACCTTCACATCAGGAATGAAAATAGCTATTTCTAGAATTCCTAAGCTCAAGACCCATCCAAATAACCCATTACTATCAAGCAGGGGCAGACCTTGAGACCATACAGAACTTTCTTCGGATCTACATATTAGATCAGGAAATATTCCATCATCCCTTCAGCTGAATGGAATCTGTGTGTTTAGTCATTTGTTTTGGTTCTTATAGAAAGAGTTTAGAATGAACCACAAAGTATGGTTAAAGTAAGCAAGATTTTATAAACTACTTTCAACCATGACTTCAAACAGATTTTATTGTCAAAATTGCATGTTAAAACTACCATATAAAATATAATTAGATAACAATTACAGCTTAGCATTAAGTGAATTATGACCAAACTAAGCCAGATTCTTTTGTAACAATTGCCTGTATATTTTGACCTTCCTTTTTTATGGGACATGAGACTTTTCAATTTGTTACCAATATTAATATTTAAGAAATTAATTGTGGATAGCTTTCACTTGCTTCTTTCTGGCATTTATCAGGAAAGAAAACAGTGAAGTAGTGAATGCTCCAACACTGGAAGTTTTTAAGAAGAAACTGGATAACCATTTGTCCAAAATGGTATAGGGTTTCCTGCCTGAGCAGGGGGTTGGACTAGATGACCTCCAAGGTCCCTTCCAACTTTATCATCATCATTATTATTATTAATACCTATAAAACTTGAGAAAAAAATTCTTTGAAGTGTTAAATTCATTAATCTTGAAATTTATTTGGCAAGGAAAAAAAGCTAGAATCAAAATGAAAACATTACAAGATGCCAAGGAAAATGGAGGTTTTGGTTTACCAGAGTGGGTTTTATATTATCAAGCATCTGTATTACCATTCTGGGTAAAAGAACGGATAATTCTTAGAAACAAAAGGTTGTTATATTTGGAGGGACATGATTTACAATTGGGGTGGCATGCCTTCTTATGGAATGGGAAAAATAAAATTCAAAAGTGTATTTGGTATACAATTGACCAAAATATACAATTGACCAAAAGCCAACTGGAGAAGATACTTGTACTGAAGAATTCTTTCTGCTTTCTATCACAACTTATTTGTAATAGTCCTTGTTTCTGCCATTATTGGGGCATGAGGAAGATACTACTTGCTTGCTATTTGAGGAATCTTGATTTATTGAAGCTCAAGGTGAATTGGAATAACAGAAGTGTATGCGATATAGAAGAAATGCCTGAGAAATATTGGTAAAAAGAAGGAGCAAATATGATCAAACAAAGGTAAATCATAACAGCAAGGGTGGCAAATCATCAGTAATGCCTACCCTCATTATATCTGTCACATGTGGTCTAGTAGGCAGAGAATGGTGGGTCAGAAGAAATAATAGCTCAAAGCTTCATAGTTATTTTGTTTAAAGTCACTCATGTTTATTTGTTAGTAGATGCCAACTGGGAAAAATCTAATAAATTGATATCAATATCAATCAGAATAGAGCTGTAGGGAGCTTGGAGATCTTCTAGTCCAGGGTTTTTCAACCTTTTCACAGATTGTACCACTTTTAGGACATGATACTATTTGAGTACCACCAGTGCTTAGCAAGGTGCCAAAAACTTGATGACTAAAAAAAAAAGGGGGGGGGTTGGGTTACTGGTTATATTCATTTGTTGTTATAGAAATGGCTAGTTTGTAATATTATGGAAAAGTAAAAAGTTAAGGTTCAATGTTAATGCTTCCTTCTACTGCAACAGAGGAAGTCTGTTCTTTTCCCTTCTCCCCCTCACTTTCCTCACCTTTTTCCTCCCCACTGTGTTCTATTATTTGCTTTTGTATTTTTGTATTTTATTCTATAATCTAATAAAATATTACAAACTGTAGAAAAAAAAGAAAAAAAGTACAGTTTTAATTTCTTCGGTAGCTGTTCTTTTGCTGAATCACTTTCCCTTTGCACTGACAAATGTATGATGAATTTATCCATGTTTATTAATATGCACCAATACCAGCTAGCACAGGGGTCTTCAAATTTCACACTTTTAAGACTTGTGGACTTCAACTCCCAGAATTCCTCAGCCCTCATGGCTCTTTTTCCTTTCTCCCTTCTAAGTTCTTTCCACAGTGTAGTAAGAATGTACCCCCCAAATCCCTTCGCTGCACCCTTAAAGACACAGGAATCAAGTGCCAAGCAACAAAGGCTCACAAAATAAACATATAAACTCCAGGGTTTTTTTCTTTAAACTGCCTCAGACATGTCACATGTCACAATGTTGCAACCCGAAACTGAAAGGCTCTGGCAATTACAAAAAGCTTTAGCTTTAAATTAAGCCTGTTTACCTTCAAAGAAAACTTTCTAAAAGCCATTGACAGACTTAATTAAAGGGGGTAAAACTAATTACATTTGTTTAAAGGGATTAAATATTTCCCTGTTGTCTTTTTCCCCCTTTCCCGCCCAAATCACCTCCTTTTATAGCTTTTCCTCTCTTCCCCCCTTTTCTTCAGTTCACCTCCAGCTCCAAGCTGCTTCTGAAGTACCAATGCTGGCTCCTTCTGCTGAGCCCAGACAATCCTACAGTTGCAGCTACCTCTCCCTCAGACTTCGGTCGCTTCGGCTCATTCCCCTCCCCCACTATACTTTTCTAGGATGGTCACATACCATCTGCCATGTGGCAAAGTACCACAGGTGGTACACGTACCACCGGTTGAAAAGCCCTGTTCTAGTCCAACCCCTTTGCTCAAGCAGGACACCATGTCAGAGAAGTGGCTGTCCAGTCTTCTCTTAAAAACCTCCACTGATGAAGCACCTACAACTTCTGAAGACAAGCGGTTCCACTGATTAATTGTTCTCACTGTTAGGAAGTTTCTCCTTAACC